GTGGGTGGGGGGGCGTACTCATTTGTTGCTTGCGGTAGTCATTTGACCATTGACCACGCGTCCTTTTGGAGAGGGAGCAGGAGCACGGTGGGGGGGGGGTTGACTGGCTGTGGCCGGGCGGCGATGGTCGTTTCGGCGTCAGTGGATGAATGTTTTGTTTATGGCAGGAGTTACGTCCGAAGACAGAAGTACTTTCGTGACAACCAAGTATAGTCAACAGGTAGTTCCGTCCGGAGACAGAAGTACTTTCGTGGCAACCAAGTATAGTCAACAGGTGGTCAGCTCATGTTTTTTGCTGTCCCAGGCGGCGGTGTCTGTGAGTGCTCTGGCTTTCGTCGCTGCTCCTTTTGTTTTTCTGCCAGTGTTGGCTTTGAGGAAGATATGAAACCCACGGAAGACAGACATGCGTTTGCATAGTTTTGTGTCACATATTTAGTGTGCGACGGCAAATTTCTGGAACGAACGAAAAATTCTCGTGCCATGCCGCCTGAACTATTTTATTCAGCGAGTTGGAACGCGGGGGCGCTCGACAGCCGGTTGTGGAACGAGGGGCTAGACTAGACCCGACCACCGGCCACGGGCGCGCAAGTAGCGCACACACGGTAAATACCTTTTTGGCTCTCAGGGAAATGAAGACCCGCCCTGTAGGTAACGGGGGAGGGAGGAACCCTACTCTCAATGTAACTACGGGCCGGGCCAACCCCCCGTGTGCTCCGCCTGATGGGCGACAACCGGGGCATGGGGGTGGGGGTCGTCAGCAGTGGTTGTGCTGCTGCTGCTGCTGCACGTCAGGCATGCGCGGTTTCCCAATACAAAGCGACGTACAACCACCACGGGGCTACAAACGTGCGCAACTCGGAACGCTACGCTAATATGTCGCCGTGGTTGGTCCTAATGGGCGTTTGTTTCTCTTGTGCTGTCTCCTGCGGAGAACAGTGTGCATGCTGTTCCTGTCTCTGGCGACGCTCTCTTCCTGCCTGTTCTACATCTTGGCGACTTACCTCCACGACCGGCACTGGGTCCGCCACGTCGAGACCGGCTATGGGATTCTGTTCCTCGTGGACTACTCTCTCACCGTCGTAGCAGCGCCGGTAAGTGTCCAGAGCATGCACGCTCGCGTTGTATGCTTTTTCTTCCTTTTGCAGTCTCATTGAGCGTAAGTTTTGTAGCACGCGGTGCTCTCTTTCTCTCTGCCTGGCTGAAATTCCTCTTATCCTTCCTCTTAAGTGTAATCCCTCTAAACCACTGACTGCTACCTGCCAAGCGCAATGAGCTTGTAATTTTCGGCGGGCACAGGCCTTGTGGCGGCATTCAAACGTGTTGGGTGCAGTCTTACACGGAGCGCCGTAGTTTTGGTAGGCCCGCCTTTGCAAGGGACCACTACCACGAACACCACCACGGCTACTACTGTAGATCGGTCTGGTGCAGTGATGTTGACCTCGCTTTCTCCTCGTCAATGGAGCGTGACACCTGACTGCTGCTACGCATGTTCTTTGTCTGGTTGTTCGCTCTTTCGGCAAGCGTGCCGTGAAGATCGTGAGTGTAGAACTCCAGGTGTAGACTACGCCTTGTTTATGGTGTGGTGTGAAAAGTTCTTGTGTCCCCTTGCCTTTGGCATGCCCTTCGGCGTACATTGATGTGCAATAAATGAATACCACAGGTGACATGCGCGGTGGGTCTTCTCCCCCCCCTTTTTTTGCGGGGGGGGGCTTCGTGAGAACCCAGTTGCATCATGCCCCTTCGCCATCGTGTACCCAGCTCCGGCACTGTTTGTTTCCATTTGCACTCAGTGCGCTAGGGGCACGCGCTTCTTCCTTTCCTCCCATGACGTCCTCGCGCACACAAAGGTTTTATTTATTTTTTGCCAAAAACCGGCTTGACCACGCGACCACAGATCCCTTTGGCGTACGCTCTGGGCAAGGGTGGGCTCATCGACCTCGTCAGTTGTCTCCCAGCCTTCGGGTCCTTCCAGCCTTGGATGGCTTCGCTTTCCTTCGTCAGGTTGAATGTTTGCCCGGGGGTAGTAGTTGCTGTTCGGCCTGTATTTGAGGACGTTCCTCTCTGCTGGTGTTCCAACTATGTTTTGTTGTGCCCCCCGTGTGCCAGTCGTGGTGGATGGCCTGCCTTCGCTCGCTATTACCTCGCTTGCTGTTTTCAGTTGTTTTTGGTGTCGTCCTTGTTGTTGCTGTTTTCGCCGCCGTCTTTGTGGTTAATGCTGTCTTCGTTATTTGGATTGGTTCGGTTGGACTGCTTGGGGTTGGGTTACAGCCGTAGCAGCCTTTTTTGCCAACAACTGTCAGCACGAGCTGCAACGAAAACGCGCCCTGCCAAGCCGCCCATGTCTTTCCCACCTACGCCGACACACACACAAGAGACGCCAACTTCCGCGGACGATGCCTTGTATTCATAGACCCCATCACCCCCTGGGTTTGATATTCTCGCCGACCCCGCCACTTGCTGACAAGGTACCTCCGAGTTGGAAAAGCCATACGCGTCATGCGCAACCACAAGCTGCTGGCGAGCATCTTCCCAAATGACGACGTCACCATCAAGGCGACCTTGCTAATCGTAAAGGTGAGTCGTCGATTGCTGATGGGCGCGCAAGTATGCTCTCATCGTATTTTTCGGCAGGCTGCTTCGTTATTGTTTTGAGCACGGTGTAAGAGAGATGGAGCACGCCGTGCGGAAAGCCGGCTGCCTCGTGACGACGTGCTTTTTTTTGTGATGATGACCGTATGTTTGGTACAACCAACCAGCGGGGCTTAGTGAAGGAACGTCGTGCTGATTTCGCTGCCTACTGTAGAGGCGTGAGGAACTGCATGTACTGCTGTGTGCGTGCGGGAAGGACCCGTGCCGAGACTCTGGATCGAGTCATGACAACAACTACACTAACTACAGCTACAACACCTTCTACTCATATGCATGTTTTGCAATTGATGTGAGGTACTCGGACGTGGCTCGGCTTCACCTCGGCCCCATCAATGACATACGTGTCGCGGGGGGGGGGGGGGCGGGGGTTCCCCCCTTTTTGGGGCGGTTTTACCCCCCCACGACTGTTGCAACCCCCCCAAGACTGTTGGTACAACCGTCGAGTATGCGCCAATTTTGGGGGTAAAATCCTGAAAATAATACCTCCCCCCACCCCCCTCTCCGGGGTGATTTTTAGTGAAGGAAAAAAAAAAAAAAAAAAGCCGCCCCCCCCCCCCCCCGGGGTGGGAGCCGCAAAAAAAAAAAAGGGGACTCTAAAAAAACTTT